ACATGTGTGTACACACCTCTGTGTTACACCCGCATGGAGTTGTCTCTGGATAAAGACCTCAGTCATAGTGCACTAGAAGTCTCGCTTATTCTAGCATGGCCTTTCCAGCACGGTCTGATTGTGGCTGCATCTGCAGTAGCTTTTGTCAGAATTACAGTACTAGTCCCCTTCCTCACTGTCTCTCCTCTCTTTCATTTCTAGTCTGATCTACTTTCCTAAGAAGCTAGACTGGCCTACGGTGTGCCAGCTATGATGCACTGTGACACAGTTCATAATTTAAGTTTTTCAACACATGGCGATGATATATAGCCATAGGAAACCACCAGATTCCTTAATTCTTGTTTTCTTCCTTGTAATGATGACAAGACATAATAATGACTATCCACACTACACCCTTGTTGTGAGGGTTAAACTAAGTAGTCTAAAGGTATTTAGATCTGTGTCTGTGGTAGCTGTTGCTATGTCTTTATATAACACCACATGCTTTTATTAGTCTCTCATTTTCAACAGAAATACATGCCCATTCCCCCCAAACAATTTCTTGGACCCTCATTCCACAAGAGGATAATATTTTTCACACGTATCGCTTTTGGGAAAGCTTTTAAACAAAAATTGAACAGAATTATTTATTGCAAAAACATTAATCAACATTGTCAGTCTTCCAGATCTATAGGCCCCACTGAACTCTAGTCCCATTGAGAAGTGCTATGTGGGAAGAGCTCTCATCAACTCTTTTCTATTTTACCTAGCTTCCGGGTCCTTCCCAAGTCTGCCCAGCTACTTCTTCCCCAAAGCTTGCCTCTTATTCCTTACCCTTTAAAGTCTTTGGTTCAGCCCACATCCTTAGCTTTTGAAATATGTAGGGCTTCATATAGGACTCTCTCTCATCTCTTACATTCTTGCCCTGATCACTCAGACAATGGCTTCTAGTCAGTCTTCAGGGATCCATGCTGTACAAGAAAGGTTGACGTCTATGTTGTAGGCTAACTATCAATCTGTTGTTGTTGTATTATTGGCAACTTTACATACTGTGGTAGGTCTTTAGAAACAAGTGAACAAGTGAATGAGTTAACGAAGTTTCCTAAACACAGATGTGTGACCCTAAGCACAAAGCAGTCAAGCATCTCAGCTTCTTCAACAACAAGCACATTATGTGAAAACCTAGTTTGTCTGCCACAGGCTGGTAGTCTTCCCAAGTCTTCATGTAGCCCTGGGTTTAATAAAACATGGAGTGCTGGCCTCATTTCCAAGGCTTCTGATGAGAACTAAAGCAGAAGAAAGACAGACGTCTGCATTTGTTTTGGTTTGGGTGCAGAAGTTTTGCAATATTCAGTCCACATTCTTTCACAACATCTCAGGCCCGTCATGACATTTCTTTGTTGTCGTTGTTAACTGCTTATGGTGACAGCATGGAAAGGCTAGGAGATGAAAAGAAAGTTGAGGAGATGCTGAATAGAAAGATATTTCGGAGGGTAGGGAGCTTGTTCATAAAGGCACCTGCCACCAAGTCTGACGATCTGAATTGGATCCCTGAGACCCACATGACAGAAGGGGAGAACAGATTTCCCCAAATTCTCCTCTGAATTTCACATGCATCCTATGACATGTGTGTACTCAGGTACCACACATCCCCTCATATGCACAAAACAACTAAGTAAAGCTAATTTAAAAATAAAGATTTTAAAAAAGAAAGACATTTTGGATATCCTGTCCTGTGTCCAGCCTGTGACAAACTCCTTCAACTCACACATGAACTGTTTTCATCCTGATTATCAGAGGGGAAATGGGGCAGAACTCTTTGCTCTTGATCACAGCCCTGGGTGTAGAGGGAAAAGAAATGTGACTCTTTCAGTGCCAAAATGTAGCACTTGTTTAATTAGGTACTACATAAAATGAATTATTCTTCCAACCTACTTTGTGTGTATTACTTGAATTACTTCTTAAAAGTTCCATTCCTGAGTAAAGACCTATTCATCTGAGTGTTCTTAAAATTTCTAACCAATTACATGTGCCCAGACTATGCCTTCTGCTTCATTCAGTGGAAGGGCCCCTTGGAGGCTCTGTCTAACCTCAAACCTGTCCTATCCCCCCCACATCTGGAACCTGGATTCTAGCCACTCACTTCAGAGCCCTGAATTTCTGGTGTTTATACTGCCCAATATGTGATACTTGGTTACACATCCCTAGGAACCTAGCACAATCCTTTGTTAGATTAGATCTCTTGGTAAGCTTTATTATATTTTTAAAATCCACTGCTCACAAATGTATTACATACACTAGTTTATATATATCAAGTATTTACATGATAAAAATGAAAACACTAGAGTTGTTATTTTCATAACAACCAAACTGGAGCATGTTTCCTCCATTAATCTCAATGGCAAATTCCAATAAACCTCTGTAGGCAGTTTAATTAGGACAACAAAACTCAATTCTCAATATTCCTTCTTGATTGTTGTGGGGGCTTGTTTCCATTTCAGTGTCACGGAGCGTGCACATCTTCTGTCTAAATCGCTCCAGGTCTAATCCTGAGTGGTGATTGCTAAGCACACACACGCAGTGCATCACCTTCTTGTCTCCTTGAGTGGAGGTAGAGCCGGCATCAACTTTGTCTCCATTCAGCACAGAGAGAATGCTGACATTCTCAAACCCCATCGTGTTCCCCTCAGGAGCAAGCTCCTCGCAGTTCAGGGCTCCGTGCTTGCTCACACAGGAGTTGTGTTTGTCTCCTGGAAACAGTACTGGCAGAGGGACAATTCTCACTGAATCTGTTGAGTGGATGCACCCATAAATAGCTCTACATGAGCGTCGGCTTCTCACAGGCAATGATAAAACTAAACTACGTTTTAGAAGCGTTTACCCGCCTCTCACCCTCTCCTCTTACGTTTTGGTCAGAAAGCTTTTCTTTCTGTGGATCTACCAGTTTTCAGGAGCTGTCTTTGGGAGATATAAGTCAGGCATCAGATTTGGGTTGTGCATGGGCTTGGGGTGCATCATTGAAGGTTATTAACCTTTTACTCTTCAGAAGCACCTTGCCCTGATAAAGTTAATGTGTCTGGTTTGTCTTGAGAAGACATGCTGTTTAGGACTTTTTAATGAGCACTTCGGTGACCTGTGTCTTGGTGAAGGAATGGGGCTTCTAAAGAAGGAATTCCGATAACAGTTGGAGAGTAGATTGAAGCAATTTCTGCAGTGTAACGTGTTGCCTTCCCTGCCATCCGCCTGGGCCCTGCCACAGTTGCAGTCCCTATATAACACACAAGACACTGTATTAATTATGAAGCTGTTGGCCATTTGCTTGGTTTCTTACTGGCTATCTCTGACTGAAGTATTTAACCCATAATTGTTAATCTAAGTATTTCTCTTACCGGAGAAAAGGGTCCAGACCTCTTACTCCTCTGGAGGCCTACATGGTGTCTGCCTGTGCCTCTCTTTCCCAGAGTCCTCCTCGACTCCTAGTCCCACCTATCTTGCTTCCCTATTGGCCAGCAGTGCTTTATTCGAGCCAATCAGACACATATTTACAGAATGACATCTCCCAACACTGCGGTACTCTGGAAAAGGTACTATTTGTTTTGATTTTATGAGGAGCTACAGCTTGGTTTTTCCTTCCACACCTAAGCGCCACAGCAGCCGTGTGAGATGCCCCAGTCTTCAAGTCGCAGAGCTAAAAAAACCGGAAATTCCGAGTAGGGAACTTATTAATCCAAAGATTTGGTGAGAGTCCAGATGTTGTCCCAGGTGAGGCCAGACGGAGGATGGGTCAGAACTCTGTGGAGCTCCATTTCAGTGAGAGAAACAGGGGGAAGCCATCAACACGCTGTACTGTGACTAAGCACTGTTAATCATTAAAGGAAAACGCGGCACTCGGTGTCACATTTTCAGTGTGGCTTATGACATGGTTGTTCTTTGGACACTGGCCATCCAGGCACGGTATTTTTCTCTACTAATTAAAACATTCAATTCTCTGACCATACCCAAGTAACAGTTCAAAACAACGCTATGATACTATCAATTAAAAAATTCTCTATCTCCACCACAGGGGAGAAGTGTGCAATTGTCCCTTGCTACAGTTAATGGCTAATTTATTTTATCTCACGTTTGCACTTTATGGTCCCTTTCAGCTTTCAGGAATTTAGACGTGCCTTGTGCTTCTGGAATGGAGAAACGGGTTTATTTTGATGTGGCACTTTTCCTTTTTCCCCCCACACAGCTAGTGACAGCATTTTACTAAGTTCAGACGAGAAACCAAGAGCCATGGTAGAAAGAGTAAGTGCTGGGATGGGAAAGGAGATGTTAACAGGGGGTGGGCACTGTGTTCATCACCAGTGAAAAGCAATTACAGTGTAAAAAAGACTCACACTGCACAAGTTCATTCAACACCGTAATCGGTGATGTAACATGACCCAAAGAACAATTCCGAATGAAAAATAAACGTGTCTTTACCTGGTCATAAACTAATTTTTATAGAATCTGTTATGTGCACATCCTTATCCTTTGTTGTGGATGTCACCAAACATTCTCTCAAGAACTTGGATGCGACCAAAAGGTTTTCACCCCCAGGTCAGCAGCAGGAGCTCACAGTGTTGCTTCATTCTCTCCTTACACAGTGACAGTGGAGTCTTAAGACTGTTCCGCATACAGCAGTTGGCCAGCATTCTTTTTATTCAGCCCCTGGGGATATCTGCTGCGAAAGTTCTCCTTCAAACAGGCAGCCCTTTCTCCCTGTGACCCTTTCATTCTGCAAGCTGCATCCCACAACACATCAGGGTCCAGACAAGACTTGGCCCTCCTCATTGCTGTCTTGCAACCTCAGAAATGCCAACCCCCCCGCTTTTGTTTTCATTGGAAATGAGTTTAAAGCAAAACTTTTCCTAGCTGTCTGGTGGCTGGAAAGTGTTGTCTGACGCTGCTGGGTGGTCAAAGCATCAGAGGACCTTGCCATTGCCTCGCCTGCCCTGTGCGGGTGGGAAAAGGGGCGGAGAGCAGAGAGACAAGGAAGGGGCGGAGGTCATTGAGCCCTGCAGCGGCGCGCAGGCTGTGAGAGGCTAGGTGCCTTGGAGTTCAGGGTACATTTGGGCCAGCAGGTCCTGCGGGTGATTCAGGGAGCAGAGGGGGCATAGGAAGTGCTGAGCTGTGGAGCCCGAGGTTGCTGCTGCGCTGGGCTGGGTGCGCCATGGCAAGCCAGGCGCAGAGCTCTTCTGCTCCGGACACAGCCACTGGCTGGCTCAGGATGCCAAGGTAACCAGGAACCCTATGACTACATTCCCATGGCCGATTCCCATGGCGCCTGGATTCCTCAGCCGAATCCGGGGTTGATAAACTACGGGGACAGCCTTAAGGGCCTCGCTGGCCAGAGCCTTAGGCTGTGCTTGGCAGTGACTCTGGACCCAATTCGTGGTGTGCCGTGGAGAAGGGAGGGAGTTTGGGCTGGGCTGTATGGTTGGGGGCGGGCAGCAAGCATCCCCCTTCTCCCAGGCACAAGAGAAGCAGGCAAACCCGGCTGCCTCCTTCCCTCCTCGAGATTCCCTGCTGGCGACACTTCATGGTCCTTACCCAGTCTGCAGCAGACCTCTGGCGCCCTCCAGGGAGGGAGGGAAAAGATCTCGCTGGAGTTTCAGGAATTGCAAAAAGTTTCAGCAAGTTGGTTAGGTTTCGAGGAGATGTGGCAAGCCTAGGCCCTGTGGGGTGCAGGGTTTGCAACTGGCGAAAGTCAAACTGTGAGTAAGACAGTAAGACACAGAGTGGGCAGCCGGCCTCTCTCTGGGCCACTTAAAGCCACTGTGGGGCCGAATCCCCGGTCTCCCGGAAAGCTTCTTTGGGAAACCGATCTAATTAGCTACAGGTGGGGTGGTTGTGGTCCGGTAGCTAGCTAGGGGATTTGGGAAAAGACAATGCAGTACTTCTCACTGGAGGCTGCAGTAACCTGGCAGTGTCTTTCAGCCCAAAGTGTTGAGGGTAGGCTGCTTTCCCCCTTGCCCGTCTCGCGCAGGGATTTCTACCCCGACAAAAGGAGGGAAGAGAAAGGATCTTAGAACAGAACCCAGAGCCTTGACAGTCTCTTCCAGGCGTCAAAGTGTGTGTGTGTGTGTGTGTGTGTGTGTGTGTGTGTGTGTGTGTGTGTGTGTGGCACACACAGATTCTGTGTATTTGTGTATTGCCCTTTATTGCCTTTTCATGACTTAGATGGTCGCCTACTTGGGGGGTCAGTGTCCCCCCAAATAAAAGACTAAGTTCTTAAAGGATTAGTTATTTAAATAGATTGTCATGCTTTAAAAACGTCATTGGATTGAAACGTTAGTGCTCAGATGACTCAAGATGCCAGGGAGCTGTCAGAAGGGTTTTCAGGGATGTCTGTCCTTAGAGGGAAGTGAGAGGGGGAGAGAGAGAGAGGGAGGGAAAGAGGGAGGGAGGGAGGGAGAGAAGGAGGGAGGGAGGGAGGGAGGGAGGGAGGGAGGGAGAGAGAGAGAGAGAGAGAGAGAGAGAGAGAGAGAGAGAGAGAGAGAGAGAGAGAGAGAGAGATGTTGCCACCTGACTTTGGATAGGCTGGGTAAATCCACCCCATCCCAGGGTGCTTGACGCTTGGTTTTAAAGTCAGGCGACTGGCAATTTGGTCTTTATAATTTCTATCCTGTGTGCTACAGATGTCTGCACGTCGAGACTGTGCGGTGGTGACAGAGAGATGACCTGAGGGGACGGCTTCCATCTTCACAACAATGTCCATGAACAGTTCCAAACAGCCAGTGTTTCCTGCAGACGGGCTCATAGCAAACTCTACCTGTCAGATGCAAGACCGGCTTTCAGTGTTTTTCTCAGTAATCTTCATGACAGTGGGGATCTTATCTAACAGCCTGGCCATCGCCATTCTCATGAAGGCGTATCAGAGATTTAGACAGAAGTCGAAGGCCTCCTTTCTGCTCCTGGCTAGCGGCCTGGTGATCACAGACTTCTTTGGCCATCTCATTAATGGAGGGATAGCTGTCTTTGTATATGCCTCTGATAAAGACTGGATCCGCTTCGACCAATCAAACATTCTCTGCAGTGTTTTCGGAATCTCCATGGTGTTTTCTGGTTTGTGCCCTCTTTTTCTAGGCAGTGCGATGGCCATTGAGCGGTGTATCGGGGTCACCAATCCTATATTCCATTCCACGAAAATTACATCTAAGCATGTGAAAATGACACTAGGTGGCGTGTGCATGTTGGCTATTTTCGTGGCTTTGTTGCCTATCCTTGGAAACCGAGACTACCAAATCCAAGCATCCAGGACCTGGTGTTTCTACAACACACAGAACATCGAAGACTGGGAAGACAGGTTTTATCTCTTGTTCTTTTCATTTCTGGGCCTCTTAGCTCTTGGTGTTTCGTTCCTGTGCAATGCCATCACAGGAGTGACACTCCTTAGGGTGAAGTTTAAAAGTCAGCAGCATAGACAAGGCAGATCCCATCACTTTGAGATGGTCATTCAACTCCTCGCCATAATGTGCGTCTCCTGCATCTGCTGGAGTCCCTTTCTGGTAAGATCTTAGTGTATCAACAGTTCTGCTCTCTTGGGCTTATCTGTGTTCTGTGAAGTTCTGCTGTCTTTATCAGAGTTGCTGGTCTAGAATGTCAATGTTTTAAATGCTAAAGTTGACTTCCATATTCCATAGGCCCCCAAATCAAATGTGTTTCAAGCAAGTGTAATCACAGTCTTTCTTGCTTCCATATGGGACTGTGTGAAGTAATACAAGTCTTAGCTTCAGTGTACTGGGTGTGGTTATCTAGAAAAACATTGATAGAATGAGTGGCTCTGATAGACCACTGTGTCAGAATCAGGTGGGTTTTGATAGAAAGTGACACAGACTTTAATCTGTAGACAGAAGAGCAGCTGCAAAGTTGCTTTTAACATGTAAAGATGAACTCACAGCTGAGATAATTAACAGGTCAGCCAGCCCTGTAGACAATGAAGAGAAGACATCACTAGTTCACTAAGGTCAGAGATGCTGATGCTGACCGTGTGGGAGGGTGACTGACAGGAGGTCAGACATTCATCCTTTTACTTTCATTTCTTCAAAGCTCTGTAGTCAGCAGGTGCATGTGACAGCTTGGTATTTTAATCTGGAGATAAAGGAACTCACAAAGCATTCATATTCTTTCCCAGACAGAAGGCTGAAAAACTGGGAGCTCATTCACCAAATTCACTTTGTGGTAATATGCAATGGAAGAGGAAAACCAAACCTGCAGTGGTGGGGAAGTGGGCTGGCATCCCAGAGATGCTTGTGCAGGTTGGACCAAAGTCGAAAAGAGGTAGGAGAAGCAGGGTGGAGATAGAGGCAATGCTGGGTATGACAGTCAGTAAGGCTGTTAGCTGAAGGTCTGAGAGTGATGTACTTTCCCACATCCCAGGTATACCAGTTGTCTGAGAGCATGCATGCGTGGCTCTGATACACAGAATAGATGATCATCATGCACATAAAATGTTGTGAGCAAGGCTCACACTCAGGAGCCAAGAAAAAAAAAAGATGGTTTTGTTTCATAAAAGACGTCTTTCATAAGCGCTCACTCACTTTCATTTTATTGCTTTGCAATTTCAATTTAGTGCCTTAAATTGTTGAATCATTTAAGATTTTATTCATGTTTCCCCTGGGCTACCCAGGTAGGATGGTCTACTTAAGAGTACTGAGGTTATTCATGACAACTCAGCTTCCGGAAGACTGTGCACTGTCAGTTTATGGGACCTGAAGTTAATTAAAGCTGGAGTCTGAGTTGTCCTTCGTAGTAGCATGTTCTAATAGAAGGACAAAAAAACCAAAAAAAAAAAACCAGATGAAACGTTTTGAATTACATCAGTGTTCATTTTGAGTAGTTTAATGTAAGTTTATGATACTTGGCACAAGGGATTTCTTAAGTTTTTAAACTAAGGTGGTTTTTCAAAATACAAAATGAGGCTGAGTGAATTGTACTTAATTTGGTAATTAAGGGGGTTAAATGGAAAAAGTGGGTAGGAATGTTAAGGAGGCTTCTGAGTGTGAAGGGCAATTGTCATAGTTCAGAGGAACAAATGATTCGGACAGCCCAGGCAGCCTCGAGATGTGGGCCGATTGGTTCCTAATCATCATGAAGTTTCTCTTAACTCTGGCTTTTGACTTTGAGGAGCAGGAGTGAAAGATTAGCTCCTGTCAGACCATGGCAGAAGTGGAATCCCAGAATCTTGCCAAGGATATGTTGAATCTACATTTTCTCCTTTTTGCTGAAATTTTGGTTTCTTTTTTTGATTGGATAGATACCATGACTTAATTTATATTTTAAATGGTTTTAATTGGTTTCCTTTCATGAGACTGTTTCCTTTTCCTCCTCTACCTCCCTCTCCTTTTGATTGGCATGCAGAGTTAGGTTTCCTTGAGGCATTGATGTGTTTATGTGTTGTGACTTCTCAGATGCTAACTGTGTAAGTTCCTCCTACATAGAGTGTGCAGGAGATGCACCACAGGTGCCTCTTAATTGGCTGGCTATGAGTTGTTTCAACGTTTCTAAGGGTTTGTCTGATATATGATGATGCCAAGTGTCTGCCAATCACCCCATTCTGGCTTTGTAACTATGTGGTGTATTTCATTTCATGGAGGACGAAAACGGAATTTACTTTTCCCAGGAACTGAGATTTAGAAGTCAAGAGTAAACATTGCATTTGTTTAAAATATAACTTCATAGTAACATCTAGGCCTTGCCATATCTGTACTCCATAATTGTAATTAAGATGAAGTCAGATAAATTCACTGAATTAACATTCCAGCTCACAAATGTACAAGCCCACTCGGCATTTAGCATAGAATTCCATGTGGGAACAGGCTCACTCCAAATAACACTTACAAAATGATCTCTTGAGCTTTTTAGGCAAATTGCCTTTACCTGGAACTTGCTAGGCCGATGTGCTGTCCTTGAATTTAGGATGCTTCTCTCACACTGTTCCCTGAGTGCTGGAATGACAAGCATGAGCCACTATGCCCGGCTTCAAGTAACAAATTCTTAATCTTCGTTTTGCCTTTATATATGTATGTGCAATGATTCTTTTCAATGCTCTCTTCATAGAATATATAACTTTAAAAAATAGTTTAATATAATTGCTATGCATATTTCCCTAATTTGGTAGGGCAATAAATACTTGTTAACTGGTTGATTGAAACTTAAGTAGCATGAATGTCAAGAGGTTGGAAATGATTGACCAGAATGGATTCTGAGTTTTGTAGGTAGGTAGCAGTTAGGCAAGTACTGAAACAAAATGGTAATTTTGAACGTCTTCCAGGTCGGCACCTGTAGGTTTATGAAATGTTGAAATTCAGCTATCTCCCAGTAGAAGGCCAAATGCTTACTTTGTTATCTCTACAGAGGATACTTTTAAATGAAGGACACAAAGTGTTGGAGAAACAAGATATTTCCTACATATGGAGTTTACCCAAGACATGTGTTCTTTTGTGTATGTAAAATTGAATTTTGATTTTTCTTAGGTTGTAACTCTCATACAAATTTTTATAGTCACCTTTGCAGTTAAATATTTAGTCTCTAGGGTGATTATCAGATACATATCGATTGGGTAGTTAGTTTAACTTTGACTCAATTTGCTGAAGGTCCCAGTATTATACTGACCAGGTGTTATAGCATAGGTAGCCAATGATGGGCATGAAGGACCTCTGTCCTGTAGCTGTTTGGAAGACTGGCTCCCATCATTTTTAGAGAACACAATAGAGGACTCTATGTACCTCTGTCCTTATTTTAGCACTAAAAGATGGTAGATGGATATACATCTTTATGTGTTAAATGAAAAGAAAATGTAGGAAATCTATAAACATGCATTTTGGTCTGGATATTGGCATACATCTCTAATCTCTTGACATTCTGTGTACATGACAGTCAACCAATCTTTGTGTCTAAATCTGTACATGTGATTATATATATATAAGTAGTATGTACATAATGTATATTCTTTAAATTTTTGCTTGTTATTTTATTATTGTTATTTATTTATTTGTGTGAGTGTGTGGGTATGTGTATGATGTGTAGACCAGAATAGGGCATCAGATTATTTGGGGCTGGAGTTACTCTGGTCCTCTGGATGATAAACAAATGCTTGTAAATACCAAGTCATCCCTCCAGTGCCACATGTATTTTCATACATGTGAAATATGTATTTGTATATGTGCATATATATATTCAGAGAGATTACACACAAATTGTTAAATTATTTATAAAATTAAAAATAATAGACTAATACACCTTTATGTCTGACCATGTCAAATAAGAGGGATTCCACTGAAGTTAAGAGCTACCCAACCATAATGTATATGCAGAAGACCTAGCTTGGATCCATACAGGGTCTGCACTTTTCCATTCAGAGGGGGTGGGGGCTTTCTGTTGCAATATAAAAAAAGCAGCCTGAGAGAAAGAGGGACCCCATGTGACAGAGTTCAAACAGAGGTTCTCTTTTATTATTATTAAGGGAAAAGGATTGCAAAGACGGAAGGGGGAGGGGGGAGACTGGCCTCTGGGGATAGGAGCAGCAGGACACACACACACACACACACACACACACACACAGAGAGAGAGAGAGAGAGAGAGAGAGAGGGAGAGAGAGAGGAGAGAAAGAAAGAGAGGTGGGAGGTGAGAGAGGGATAAATGGAGAAAGAGAGAGAGAGACACACAGAGAGACAGAGACAGAGTGGGGATGGGAGGTGGGCGGGGCCCTTTTGAAATGGGACACAGTGAATATGCACAGGTGGTGCTCTTAGTGATTGCAGCTGAGGGCGTATCCTGTCACATCCCCAAGGACAGGTCAGTAGAGATGCCTGAATGCTAACACTGTCTCTGACTCTTTTGCCTGTACTTTAGACACTTTTCCTTTTACTGGGTTGCCACATGCAGCTGTGATATGAGGGTTTGTGTCTAATCTTATTGAATCTTGTTAAGCCGTGTTCAGCGGATATCCTTGGGAGGTCTGCTCTATTTTTTTAAGGGCAACAGAGGAGTTGATCTCAAGGAGAGTGGAGGTCAGGGAGGGACTAGGTGGGCAGAGTGGAAGGAGGGAAACCTTAGATCAGTTTGTAATGTGTGAGAGAAGAATAAAAGTTAAGCAGACAAACGAACGAACAAACAAAAAAGGAGCAGAGTGGACTCACATCATGTTATTTCCTATCTTGGCAAAAGGTGTTTTGCTTCTTTTTCTGGTTGTCCTTGGATTGCTGCTGATTTACATGGTCTCAGCCGCTTCCCATTCTAAATGGCAATGTGTCTTTGGAATATGGGAGTCAGAGTGCAGGTCCCCGCAGGCAGGATATTACATTACTCCAGGGTTCTATTTCTGTACGAGTACTCGACAACTCAGACACATGCAGAAGAAAGGATACAGCAACGATACTGTGTCAGCACAGTTTGAGTTGTGCAAATGAAGGCAGCCTTGCCACACGGGGTAGGCACCCAATGGGTGACAGCAAGGGTCACTGAGTGGCTGGCGCAGAAGTGAACTTGAAAGCCCTAGGTGCACCTT